TTAGATCATTGGCGCGAGGTGAAGACCAGAGCCTCCAATCAATCAGTGGAGATCAAGAAAAACAAGTGGACCGCCCTGTGTTCATCCGAGTGGCCCACCTTTGACGTCGGGTGGCCACGCGATGGCACTTTTGACTTGAACCTTATTTCCCAGGTCAAGGCGCGAGTCTTCAGACCAGGACCCTATGGACATCCAGATCAGATTCCATACATCGTCACTTGGGAAAGCCTTTCCTTTGACCCCCCTCCGTGGGTCTCCCCTTTTCTCTCTCCCAAGGCAGTCCCCCAGACCCCCTCGGCGCCCTTGCCGACGGACCCCTCCCCTTCACTCTCACTCTGCCCTGTAGTGCTCAAAACCAAGCCTGTTATCCCCCCCGATGATTCCGCTCTAAATCCCCTTCTCGAAGACTCTCCTCCCCCTTACCCACCTCTGCCCCCTGTGCCCGGAGCCCAGCCCCAGGTTCAAGCGCCCCCGGTTCCGGTTGTTGTGGCGATAGATCACACTCCCGGGACGTCCTCCCCGATCGCTGGGAGGTTGCAAGAGCGAAGAGGACACCAAGGGGATTCTTCTCACATACTTCCTCTCCAGGTGGGACCAGGGCCGGGCAACCAACTTCAGTACTGGCCCTTTTCCGCCTCTGACTTGTATAACTGGAAACAACATAACCCGCCCTTCTCCCAAGACCCTGTAGCCCTAACTAACCTCCTGGAGTCTATCCTTCTAACTCACCAGCCCACCTGGGATGATTGCCAACAGCTCCTCCAAGTCCTCCTCACGACAGAGGAGAAACAGAGGGTCATTCTGGAAGCCCGTAAACAGGTTCCCGGGGCGGATGGAAGACCCACCCAGCTGCCCAACGAAATAGAAGCTGCTTTTCCCTTGACCAGACCAGATTGGGACTTCACTACACCTGAAGGTAGGGGACACCTACGCCTTTATCGCCAGTTGCTCACAGCGGGCCTCCGAGCAGCGGGGCGATGCCCCACCAATTTGGCCAAGGTAAGATCAGTAGTACAAGGGCAAGATGAGGTGCCGACGGTATTCTTAGAGAGACTAAAGGAAGCATATCGGAGGTTTACTCCCTTCGATCCAGATAGCCCTGAGCAGGAAGTGAGTGTCTCTATGTCTTTCATTTGGCAGTCAGCCCCTGACATTAAGGTGAAACTCCAAAGAATGGAGAATCTGCAGGGACAGAGGTTACAAGATCTACTCAGGGAAGCGGAGAGAATTTATAATAAAAGAGAAACTCAAGAAGAAAGAGAGGAAAGGCAAAGGAGAGAGGCAGAAGATAGGGAGAATGCAAGAGACAGGAGGCGAAACAAGGAATTAAGCAGGATACTGGCCACTGTAGTGAGAGACAAAGAAGAGTCCAGAGGAGATAGGAAGGGAGGCAGAGGCAGGGCCCCATTAGACAGTGACCAATGTGCCTACTGCAAAGAGAAAGGCCACTGGGCAAGAGATTGCCCTAAAAAGAAATCAAGAACAAGAGAGTCCACTCTCCTAACCCTCGACTAGGGGGGTCGGGGCCAGGACCCCCCACCTGAGCCCAGGGTAACTCTTCGAGTGGGGGGCAAGCCAGTTACCTTCATGGTAGATACCGGTGCCCAGCACTCGGTTCTCACCCACACCACCGGACCCTTCAGCAAAAAGACGTCATGGGTTGAAGGAGCAACTGGAGCCAATCGATACCGATGGACTACCAACCGAGAAGTGCAACTGGCCACAGGTACAGTGACCCACGCTTTCCTACACGTGCCGGATTGCCCTTACCCACTCCTGGGAAGGGACCTCCTGACCAAGCTAGGGGCCCACATTCATTTCAAAAATAAGGGGGCAGTTGTGACCACGTCTAGGGGAGCCCCTCTCCAGGTGCTCACTCTTCGGCTGGAAGATGAATATAGACTGTTCGAAGAGAAAAATAAACCCTCTTCCGACATAGAAGGTTGGCTGTCCAAATTTCCTGGGGCATGGGCGGAAATGGCGGGGATGGGACTGGTGACGAATCAGCCTTCCCTCGTCATTGGACTAAAAACTACAGCCAGTCCAGTGGCGATCAAACAATACCCACTGTCAGCTGAAGCCTATCAAGGTATTAAGCCCCACCTCAAAAGACTCCTAGAACAAGGAATTCTCACCAAGTGCCAGTCCCCCTGGAACACCCCCCTGCTCCCAGTTAAGAAACCTGGTACGGGAGATTACAGGCCGGTGCAAGACCTCCGGGAAGTAAACAAGCGGGTAGAGGACATCCACCCGACTGTCCCAAACCCATATAACTTGCTGAGCACCCTCCCTCCTACTCATGTTTGGTATACAGTCCTGGATTTAAAAGATGCTTTCTTTTGCCTGCGGTTAAGCCCTGCCAGTCAACCCCTTTTCGCCTTCGAATGGAAGGACCCTGAGATAGGTATTTCAGGACAACTGACCTGGACCCGGTTACCACAAGGCTTTAAAAACAGCCCAACCCTGTTTGACGAGGCCCTCCACCACGATTTGACCACCTTCAGGGCCCAGCACACCAACTTGGTCCTACTACAGTACGTAGATGACATCCTGCTCGCC